GGAGGGAGGCCGCACCCGCACACGAGGAGGATAACTATATTCTTCTCCTTTTCTTTTTATTTATTATGTTAGCTTAGGTTTTATTCTAGTTCCGGGGAAGTCGAACCCTTTAATTGACGATGTTTGATTGATTTACGTGGTTGATAATTTAATTATCTTTTTGGAATTGCTTGTGTTATTTTGAATAATTAACCATGATGTGTTGAGTTTGATTTAGATTGATCACCTAGATTAGGCTTTACATATCTACACCTGAATTAGGCCTTCAATCCGTAATTGTTGATGTGTTTAATTCGCAAGTGGTATCCGGAAGATGGTAACTACCGGGGATAACACGGCCTATTTAAGTGAACGAACGCGTCACTACTTAGTCTAGCCTATTTTTCTAATGCGTAAAGCGGCTGATTGAATTAAATTTAGGAAGCGTTTCCTAGACTGTTCAAGAGGTCAGATTTAATCGTAGAGCGTCTCGCGGTTAGATTAAAAATAAGGAAAAATTCGGGTAACAGCCCGTGGCGTTACCTAGGGCTAGTAATTTCATCAAATAGCGAGATTTGACACCAAGGTTGATTAGACGAGTCAGTCGAGGGTGTAGACGGAACCGTGAACTAGAAATTTCTCTTATTTATTTTATATTTATTTTTATTTTCTTTCTTTATATTTTTAGGATATTTAGTTAGTTTAATTATCAAAACTCAATCCCCCCATTTACCGCTTTTATAAATTCAATTAATACAAGAAAATTCACAATTTGATTCACACTCCCTGTGGGTTCGACCCTTGCTCGCCACTACTACTAGTTAGTAGAGGTTTGTCGAGGAAAAATATAAATTTTAATTTTGACTGTGTCGCGACGCGCGGTCACAACAAACCGAGCAGCTTGCGAGCCGTTCAAGTTGAAGCTTGACTCGAGCTCGGGTTTGACCTAACTCGAGCCGAGATCAAGCAGTTCGAGCATGTTATCGAATCGATCTCGAACATAGATTTTAGAAGGTCGAGCCGCTCGAGATATGTAGTGAATTATCAAACTACCCCTTATATATTACGATATTTTATAGATGTACTTAGTGGTAATTTCACTTGAAATTTGAGTCGAACTCGAGTAGAGCTCGAACATTTTGATTTCAATCAGTCTCAAGCTGAGGTAGAGCGATTGTCTTCTTTTGTCGAGTCGATCTCGAGCGTCACAAATCGAGCTTAAGCAGGTAAAAAAAAAAATTAATCTTGCTCAATAAGGCAAATATTCGACTCGGCTCAGCTCGTTGCAACCCTAACGTTAAAACATGATTTCCAAGAAGTGAATAGAGAGTCGCGATTATATTAAGGTATGCATTTAAAAATCTCCGAAACTCCTCCATCTTAGAACATGGTTACCAAAAAGTGAATATAGAGTCGGTATTAAATTAGGTATTCATCTAAAAAAAACTCTCGAACTCTATTATTATAGCACACTTAAAATTGCTAATATGTACACAACTTTCAAAATTCATATGTGTGCTCCAAAATAGACTTGATAAACTTAATATTTTGCACAATTTGCATTACAAGAAAAGGTAATATAGAGTTGCAACTTATAAAATGCATTACAAATCAATCAAATTTTGAGATTGAGACTACATATCTACTTGAAATTTGTGCTCTTCCAACCAACATATTGCAAAAGAATCTTAGCTTTAGATTGGCCCCTCTTCACAAAATCAATTTGAGGGGGGCAAAAATTACACCCCACACCATGTGTCAATAAGGTCCCCCCACCTCCATTTTTTTGATGCCCCTTACCCTTTGTCTTTGCCATAGGTTCTTCCAAAAGCTCACCCATTTGGTACATAATCCCATTCCACACACACACACTTTGCCTTTAAAGTTTTTATTTTAAGCAATCTTTTCCCTATAACAACTTTTCATATTTCACACTCTTTCAATACTTCCCAACTAGCCCACATATGTTCAAAAAGATGGCACCATCGCCATGTGAGCCGGTCCTTGTTTGGCCACAACAAGCATGAATTTGTATGTAGCCCCTCTCGTGGACCTTTTCCCCCCTTGTTGTTTTTTTATATATATATATATTTTTTCTCGCATAAACAACCCATCGAAAATGAAATATAGGCATCGATAGCAACAAATTATGAAATAAATTCACATGGAAAATCAAAATGCATGTTATCCCCTTTCCTAATCGTCCTTGTGTCCGAAAAATGGAAATTTGAGTCGTGCGTACTCACATTCATCTCGTGGAATTAACTTAACGATTATCCTTCTACATTTCATATGCATGAATTTTTCTGGTTAATCAATACTGGACATGTCTGACGTATTTATAATCACACATTTCCAACACACATCCGTATAGTAACATCATAATAAAAGTATGATCATCGTTACAAAAGTATGACCGGTTGTTAATGATTAATCAGTCTAATTACATTAGAATTAATTAGAATATGTAAAATATTAAAATTTTAAGATTGACATTTAGGTTTTCTAAAGGTTAAGATATGATGAAATTAATGCAAAAGGATAATCTTTATAGAAAGAAGTAATAGGATGAAAGCACCCTTACATGCTCACATTTATTTGTCTTTATCCCATATACTTCCATCTGACAATCTTTTATGGCGTCTGGGGGACCTAAATTTGAAAATGATATATACTAAAATTATTGTAAATAACTAATTATACATACATTGTGTGCTTGAGCTTTACTATACGAATTTTTGTAGCTTATATATAGGGATTTTGTTGTTTAGAATGTGCCACGTATTTTCAGTGTATATATATGGTCGTTCATATATAACTTTAATACATATGGTGTAAATAGTCTATATTTATTGGAAATTCGAATTCGTTTATTGTTTTTTTTTTTCGAACCTTTTCCAATTGATCGGGAGTTTTTTTGCCTTGAAAAATCATATAAAATCAAATCATGGCACGAAAGATATAAATACTAGTAAATACTAAGGTCTTGTTACGGAATCATTTCTTTAGAGTTTGTAACCGTTTACGGGACCGTAACATCTTCCATAAATACTACTACTTTTGCTTTGACTTTACTTACATATGTAGTAATTAAAAAAAAATATTAGATTATTTGAAAAAAATATTCAACCAACCCTCAATTCTTTTACCCATTAATTTGGATTAACCCTTTGCTTAGCTCTTTATGATTG